ATCCCATTTCCTGTATCAAAAGGCATAAAACAATCTCCAGGGGGAGTCACGTTCAAGGCCAACATGGACGTGAGCGGTTAACTGTGGCCGAACGAGAGGGCTGAGGTCAGGATAGCACTGAGACCGAACACCAGGGGTGACGGCACGGGAGGCCTGGGGCGCCTCTGCTTCCCGCCTCGGGTGCTACGTGAGGCACCTTCACAGGCCGGGCGGACTGCCCTGGGCCCCGCGGCTGGGCGCACCGGCCCGCTGGCCCCGCACCGGGCCGTGCTCAGGCTCTCGTCAAGCCCTCAGGCAAGTCCGCGGCCGCCACTTGGTGCACCGGAGGCTCCACGGGGTCGGCGCTCATTCACACCTGTCAGAAGCGCACAGGAGGACAGCGCAGAGGCAGTCCTCGGTGCGGGAAACGGACGCCACATCCAGTAACTGCCCACCGCCATCGCCGGTCAGAGGCGGGGCCTCCTGCCTCCCTGCCCCCAGAGGCCCGTCCAGGTGGGCAGGCCCCTCGGGGAAGGTCAGTGGGTGCTATCTGATGGGGTGGCCCCCCGGGTCAGACAGACAGAAAGGCGTCTCTAGTCGTGGCTGGAAACCTCCCCCCTGCATCCCGGGAATTCCTCGGCGCTGCAGGAGGGCCTTCGCCTCCTTCCGCGGGCTCTTCCTCTCCCTCCTCCAGCCGGAGCCCGGGCGGCATCCTGGAGGAGGAGCTCCGCTCTCACAGAAGCTCCTGCTCTGTGACGCTGCCTCAGTGTCCCCCTTTGGGACGTGCAGGCGAGCAACGCCTTCTAGAACATTCCGAGGGCCAGCGGGTCACGGCTTCCCTCAGAAGTGACCAGGCCTGAAGGAGCCAGTTCAGCTCCACCCCCACCCCAGCACCCACCCTTTTGGGGTACCAGTTGGCTTATATCTGAATATCTTTAAACTATAACACAGTGGACACAAATTTTAAAACAATCAAATGGCCTCGCTGGTGTGGCTCAGTGCCTAGAGGGCCGGCCCTCACAGGAAACCAGCCCTCAGGTTCGATTCCCGGTCAAGGGCATGTATCTGGGTTGCAGGTTGGATCCCTGACCCCCGTTAGGGTGCGTGTGGGCGGCAATCAATAGATGTATCGCTCTCACATTGATGTTTCTCTCTCCCTCTGTCTCCTCCTCCCTTTCACTCCCTCTAAAAAAAAAATCAATGGAAAAAATATCCTGGGGTGAGAATTAACAAAACACACACACGCAAACACACACACACACACACACACACACACCCCACAATTCAATGTCCTCACGGAAATCCCGGGGGATTTGAAAGTCTCTCGATAGCCAGATCACCCCCATCTGTTACGCCCGCTTCCTCTGGGTGCCGAGGTGTTACCGAGAAGCTCTCTGGATGCCAGCAGTGGTGGGAACAAGGTGCCAGGGTGCCGGGAAGCCCAGCAGAGTGCACCCGAGATGGGGCGAGGTCCTGCCACTGGGAGATCGTAGGGGTCTGGGCAGCCCACTCCCGCCCTCGGAGCTGGCTCCTCCCGAGAGCAGGAGTTGGTGGTGAGGACAGAGTTTAAGGACCCGGCTCCCTTCTCCCACCCTGTCCTCTCCTCCCACCCCATCTGACAGCGGCTGCAGCTGCGAGAAGAAGCCTCACCCCAGACCCAGACCCCGGGCCTCAGGCTGCGGGCAGCCTGCACAGAACCCCGCACAGCCACCAGTGCCGCCCCGAGGACTGCTCCCAGGCCCGGCCCCTGCTCAGTGCAGGCGCTCACGCAGGGCTTTCCACTTCCAAACAACCGCAGATAGTCACCGCAGACTTCCCTCCTCACCTCCAGGAACAGCCCGAGACGGGCGGAGACTCCGGGTCCCCTGGACCGCCAGCGCGCCAGCCCATCGACCTGCATTACATAACGGCGGCCTCTCGGGCCCTCGCGGGCCCCGGCTCACCCCGGCCCTCCAGACGTGGGCCCGAGACTGACTCCCCGGGCGAGGGCTTCCTGACGGGGACGCCGGGACGATCGCCTCTACGATGCAAGTTTGACTGCCAGCCGCCCCCCCCCCCCCCGCCCCCCGAGTCCCCACTCAGGGTGCGGCGAGGCACCCCCTGGTGGCCCGCTCCTCGCTGTTTGTGTGGCTGTCTAATTGAAGCCGTTACGTAACCGTACAGTATGGAGCACCCCGGCGCTATTAATAACCAGCTGCACCCACACGCCAAGGCCTCGGCCAGCTCCCAGCTGGAGGGGATCGCCTGGGGCTGACTTACACGCATGCACAGAGACACAGCGACACACGCAAACCTACACGCACACTGCCTGTGTGTGCACGGAGACAGCGACACATGCAAGCATACACGCACACTGCCTGTGTGTGCACCAAGACCTACAGCGGGGCGTACCGTGTCCCCGGCCGCCAAGCCAGTGAACAACAGTCAGAAACATCTGCAGGGCTTTCCGGCCCTGGAGGCTGCGGTTTTCCTCGGCACCCCTCACGGCACCCAGGCCGAGGGCTGGCACCGAACACAGGTTCCAGCACCAACCCGGACACTCCTGGGCCGGGCACGCCAGCTCCTGCACAGGAGTCGGAATGAGGCTGCTGCCGAGGGCGGCGCCTTGCCGTTCCTCTCCGTGTGCGACCCAGACCCGCCCATCCTCCCCCAGCAACCGAAGGCACCCGCGGCGGACTCCGCAGAAGGCCCTCTGTGCGCGGAGGGGAGAGCCACGGCGTGGAGGTCTCCCGGGGAAAACGTGGGCTTCCCACAAAGCAGCACCGAGGAGGAGGATGGATCCCGGTGGCGCATGTTTACGCCGGAGCGGAGCGGAGGATAGATGGCAGCGCGCGGGTTCATTATGAATGGGAGAGCCGGGCAGGAGGGAGGCTCTCCTGAGCAATCCGGTTTGGATACGTGACATAAAAACCACCCTTCCGTACGTACCCCCTCCTCCCCAAAAGAACCCTAAGGGAGACCGGTTCTCCGCAGTGATTTCCATTCGAAACCTCACGGGCTCGTCAGGAGGAGCTGAGAGGTTGACGTGCCCACAGGAGGCAGCACTTGTCCTCAGCCCCCACGCACTGGCCAAAGGGGAGCTTTGCTCTGGTTCGGTGAATTCCAGTCACAAAGTGCACCGAGAGCTTAGTTTCTGGGAAGAAGGTGAGACGTGTTCATGTCACGTGGGACTCAGTAACCCTGTGAGAGCTTCGTCACCCCACGCTGTTAACACACCTAGGACAGCCCCACCAAGGGCCCTGGGTCAGGAGGATGTCTTTAACTGTCACCAACAGGCAAAGACGGAGCACCCCGTGGCCACCGCCTCAGACAGTCCCTCTCACCGATCACCAATATCGCCAGCAAACCACAGGGGGAGGGGGACGCTCTTCCCTGGCCTGACTGCCGAACCGAGGCTTCACCAGTGCCGCTGTGCGGGGCTCTCTCCGGGAGGGACAGGCAGGCGCCCCGCCGGCAGCTTCCCAGCCGCTGGACGTCCAGCTGGTGCTTTGTGTGGCCTCCGTTCCCGGGAGTGTCCTCTTTCCAGGTGAACCGCCTAACCTCCTCCTCGGCCGGATCCGGCACCTCGGGCCTGCCACAGCCGTGGCGCTGGAGCCCAGTAAACGCCCACCGAGCACCGTCCGGCGGCACCTCCTCTGGTGCAACCTGAACCTCGCGGCTCCCTCCCCGCCACGGCCTCCCCGGGGAAATCAGCAGCCCATGCGGAGCGGAGCCATCAGTGCAGGGATGTGCTGACCGGCGCCCGCCCCAGCCCAGGCTGGCAGCCCACGCGGGGCCCACCCTCACAACGGCTCCCGGGGGGCGTCTGAGAGGCCATCGGGTCCAACTCTGCTCCTCGTACCTACCAGACAGGCGAGGCCCCGGGTGCTGAGCGGCTTTCCCTGCGACACGGACCCTGCACACGCGTGCAGACGGCCCAGCCCGGTACGTGGTGACCCAACCGAGGAGGCGGCCGCTCAGCCTGGGCCAGGGGGTTCTGCATGGCCTTCCGTCAGGGCCCATCCCACCTCCCCGAACAGCCCTGCCCTTTCCCTCCGGCCTGGGCGGTCCAGGAGGCTTGTCAGTGGGGACCGAGATGAAATGCCGTCAGAGCAGAGTCCTGCCCGTGGCCATCGGGCCCGCCCCGCTCCTGTTAGGTAACCATCTCCATGCTCACACGGCCGGGAAGGGAGCCTCCGTCAGCCCTCGCCCCGCAGAGTGGCCAGCACACGGGTCTGAGGCAGGCATGTGCGGGGCACGCACGCATGCCAGGGGCACACCGGAGGCAGCAGACACTGCCCTTTCCACCCTCCAGGTGGCCGGGAGGAGCAGGGTCCCGGGAGGCAGCAGGCAGGGAACATGCTATCCTCCATCGCAGGGAAGCAGCTGCCCACTCAGTCCCAGGGGGAGGGTCAGCAGGATGGGAGGGAGGGGTGGACGGAGACCGCGGGCCCAGCCATTCGCTTCCTCTCCTCACACAAGTGTTTGCACACACGGGGAGCCTTGGGGACCAAGGGGCGGAGGAGAGGAGGGGCGGCGGGTCTGTGACAGAGGGGTCAGGCGGGGGAGAGGAGACAGCACCCCGGATCCCAGCCTGGTCTCCCACCTCATGGCCTTGTGACCTTGATTAAGCCATCCAACCAATCTCCCTGGGCCTCAGTTTCCAAATCTGAGCCATGGAAGGAGGGAGCCTACCTCCTGGGGTGGTTTCCATGTGCAGGGCCCAGCACAGCCTGGACCCCCATGACGGGGTCACCAGGCCTGAGCGCCCCCCACCCGCCCCGGTGCACAGGCACAGGAGCCTGAACCCAGGAGCCTGAGCCCAGAGGCGTGCAGACCGCCTCCTCCGGACCAAACAGGTCTCCCTGCGGGGCCAGCCTGCCGCTGGCTGCCCTGATGGCGGAGGGAGCGCAGGCGGGTTTGGAGGAGGAGATCCAGGGGCTCCATCGGAAGCCGGGGCTCCGGGGGGAGCAGGGCAGGGGCTGGGGGCGGCCCCGGCAGGGCAGGGGCTTTGTTCCCGGGCGGCGCAGGGCCTGGCTTACCGAGCAGCGCATCCGGAGGCGGGCGGGGGGTGCGCGGGGCACGCAGGAGCCACAGCCCGGCCCCGGCCCGGGGCGCGGGAGCCGGAGGACGGCGAGGACGGCGAGGCGGAGCGCGAGGAGGCGGCGGCCGGCTCCCGCCTCATGCTCCCGGGCGGCGCGGGCTCGCGGGCCGGCGGCGGGGGCTGGCCGCGGGGCGCGGGGCGCGGAGGGCGCTGCTCATGCCGCCGCCGCGCAGACGGCGAGCCGGGCGCGGGGCCGGGGGCTGCGGGAGGCGCCCGGCTGCTCAGCCCCGCGCGGGGGCCCGGCGGGCGGACCTCGTGGCGGCAGCGCCGGGGCGGAGAGAGCGTGCGGGCGCCGCGCTGCCACCCGCGGGCCGGAGCCGGGCGCCCAGGGACCGCGCCGGGCGCCCGCAGGCGCGGAGCCCAGAAACTTTAGCGCGGGGCCGGCCCCGCTCCGCCACAGCCCGGCCCGAGCGCCCGGCCGCAGGAGCAGCGCGCACCGGGGAGGCACCGGCCGGCGCGGCGGGCGGCGGTGAGGACCAGGGGGCTGCGCAGGAGGCCGCAGTCTGCGGGGAGGGGTCCCGCGCCTCCCGCCGCTGACGCCGCGGGCTTCCCCGGCGCCGGCTGCGGAGCCAGCCGTTACCTAGCGACCCGCCCGGAGCCCCGCTGACGCGCGAGGAAAGGCTGCGGCAGCCGCGGGGAGGGGAGCTCGCGGGGGAGGGAGGCGGCGGCGCCGAGCTCCTCCCTCCGCCGCCTCCGCGCCCGTGAGCGCGCGCCCTCCCCCCGAAGTCTGGCCCCGGAGGATGGGGTCCCGGCTGGGCGGGGCGGTGCGGGGAGGCACCGGAGGCTTCGCCCCGACCCGCTGCGGCAGCAGGTGGCGGCGGCCTGGCCCACAGGCAGGGGAGTGGCCCTGCCGGCGGGGGCGCAGGGAAGGTGCTGTGTGTGTGTGTGTGTGTGTGTGTGTGTGTGTGTGTGAGAGAGAGAGAGAGAGAGAGAGAGAGAGAGAGAGAGAGAGAGGGAGGGAGAGAGGGAGACGCTCCCACCCACGTGCGCACAGGGGGACCGGGGACGCAGGTGAGGAAGGGCAGCCTCCTTCTCTGGTCTCCCCCCCTCCTCCCCTCCCACCTCCTCTCCCCCCTCCTCTCCCCCTCAGGGGCATTTTGCTCCCACGCTGGGTTTCTCTTCATGGAGCACAGGTGGCTCAGCCCCCTGCTCCCAGCTCCGCCTTCCTCCCTGGCGATCACCTCCCCCACCCCAGCCCCATGGCGGCTCCTGCCACCCGTGCAGGGTCCCCTATAACCCGCTCCCAGGAGCCATCCTGCTTCTGGATTTAGGGCTTCTTAGACCGGAATTCAAACCCGCTCCCTTCCAGTGGCCTGCAGTGCTGGAATGTTCTCCAAGCTACCTAATATCTCCAGTAAAATGGACTCTTTGTCCCCAGAGCTCATAGCTGAGTGCTGGCACCCCGATGCTCCAAGGACTGCAGGTGCCCGCTGCAAGGTGGGAAGCTGTCTCTCCACCACCCGGGACCTCACCAAGCACATACCTCACAGGCCAGGGGCCAGGGGCGCCCCTTCCTCACAGCTCCTACCCAAGAGCAAGGCCTGGGGCCCCTGGGGCCTCAAGAAGAACTGGGTGCAGAACCGGGCCTCCTGGTTCTCAGGCTCCCCACTATGGCAGCAGGGGGGTGGTCTCTCTTCCCCACTCCTCAGAGACCCCCACTCCCGCTGTCTCCTCTCCCTCAGAACTAAGCCCGCACCCTCCGCACCCGCTCCTCTCACTCCGCCTCTGGGAGGACTGTGGGGAGAGGGAGGCGGGAAACGGACAGAGAGAAGGGCACCATGCCTTCCCCAGATCACGTGATCTTGGTGGGTCAACAGGGCCGGGCCTTGGCCCCTCCCCGGGGGCTTTGGGAGACCCCAGGCCTGAGGCTGCGGTGTCCTGGTGAGAGGACACATTCTCCAACTATCATCACGTTTGTGAGATGCCAGTGACTCCTACTGACAAATCCTGCGAACTCATTCACACAGGCTTGTGTCCTTAGAAACCAAGGCCCAACGACAGCACTCTCTTGGGAAGTTACTCTGCACCCAGCCCAGGTGCAGGATATCAGACCCAGCATCTCCTGGTGAAACTGGGAGCGGAACCTCTGACTTGCCTGTCCCGGGGCTATGGGTCCTGGCAGCCAGGCAGCGGGTCCACAGCAACTCCGGGGGCCTGCTTCCCAGGCCACACGGCAGAGCTCCAGACTCCCATCTGCCGTGTCACCTCATGTAGTCCGTAGCCCCGGGCAGACGCTAAACACCTGAGTCACCAGGGCTGCGCTTTTTCTTCTTCTTTTTTTAAATATATTTTTTAATTAAAATTTTCCAGAGTGGAACGGAGAGGGATAGAGAGCTAGAAATGTCGATGAGAGAAACATCGATCAGCCGCCTCCTGCACAACCGCTACAGGGGATGTGCCCGCAATCAAGGTACATGTCCTTGACCAGAATCGAACCTGGGACCCTTGAGTCTGCAGGCTGATGCTCTATCCACTGAGCCAAACCGGTTTCGGCAAGGGCTGCCCATTTTCAAGGTGTCCACCTGCAGAGCAGGGGAGGAACACCTCCTCAAATTTGTAAGGTGTAAAGTATTTCTAGAGAGTGGACCAGAGTCCTGAGTAGGGGCAATGGGGAGTTGAGAAAATGGAAGAAATAGATGCAGAGAAAGCTGGGGTTGGGTGGGACAGCCGTCCTCTGATGGAGAGACAGTGACCCAGCACGTTTATTATACACAGTATAATTCTAGGAAGTTTTACTAGAGTTTCAAACAAAGGAAATTATGAGAAATCGTGGTTAAAGATCAAGCTGTAATTTTTCATTCTTGTGGCTTCTTTGTAATAGTCACTCCTGGCTAAGCCCAGATAATTGCACCTGTTCTTTAAGCCTGGCTGAACTTAGATAATGAAACCCACCCCCTGGCACCTGCGCTAATGGTCAGGCTGACAACGTACCTGCCTCTGGCACGGTGCGTTTCCAGGACGTGGCTCTGCCAACCCCACTAGACTCAGCTAACAATAATTAAAGAAATGCTCATGTGCCTTCCCAGGCGCACTGTAGAGTCTACAGTATGGAGCATCCACAGAAGGCAAGCGCAGTTGGGGCTTCAGGGGTATAGAGAGGAATTGGGTAAGCTCCCCATCCTCCAAATGCTCGTAGGGGCAGGGATGCAGGGCGTGCCTTTGCTGGCTATGCCAGGCCTAAGGGTTTTACTCAAGAGCTCATCATGGCCTCCCCAAGCCTGTGCAGTAGGGCCGTCACCCTTTCCTCGAGGCAAGCTCGCCGTGGTACCCACCTTCCCCCCAGTCACACAGCTGGCAAACGACGGACTGGGGAGTTGCAGACCGGTCTCCCTGGCACCAAAGCCCACGTTCTCAACCATTACTCTCTTCTGTCTGCCAGGAAAAAGGAAAGTGGAGACAGTAATGGTATGGAGGTGCCTACCTGACATTTAGGATGATGGTGAGACATGTGTGCAAAGTCCCCGGGCTAGTTCCTGAGCAGAGGACGCTCTCCACAGAAGCTGGCTGTGATTTTCATTCCTATCAAGCCACAGTTTCATTCTGAATGGATAAGATCTATCTTATGGGACGGCGACTTACAACCATTTTTATCTCATGGCCCACAAACTAATTACTAAAATTCTGCAGCACACCAAAAATATATATTTTTGCCAATCTAACAAAAGGTAGGTATAATTTTTATTGCTTTACTAAAGAACAATAGTAGTAATTACCTACTCTTTTTGCTCCAACATGACTTTTTTAAAAATCAGGTGTCTGTAGTTGTATATAAGGGTTTCTGCTACCAAGAATTAACCAATCAGGTGCAGCCTTATCATGCAGCGTGACCAATAAGATGCAACTCTATTATAGGACCTATATATTTATGGTTCAAGACGGGCCATTCACACTGGGCAGCTATTTTTGTGTTGGCTGCTGTCACTCTTTAATCTGACAGTCTAGGGGAAAAGAGGTCAGTGGCCTGGCAAATGGGTGGTCAGGTAGCTTGTGGTTTAAGGCTGTTCACAGGGCCCCGGTGGGAAGTCACAGTCCCAGGGAGGACTAAGCACTGCTCAGGGCACAAGCAAAAGTGACGAGTTCTGCCTGCAGGGCTGTGGCCGGCTCGGCAGGGGAGGCGCCACTGGAGCTGGGTCTCCTGAGTGGGCGCTGGGTGGGTGGAGGGTGCAGGAGGAGGAGCAGGAGGGTCAGGAAAAATGTTTAGGTAAATCCATAGCTGTGACTCACCCTCCTATTTGGGGAGGAAAAGCTGGGGAGAACTCCCATGGACAGAGCCAGACAAAGGCAGGCGCTCCCATGGGTGAAATCTGCTGGAAACCTTTTTACACCCAAGCCTCTCCCACCGGGAAGGACCCCCTCGGTGTAAACTCATTGGTGAGTAGCTGGGAGGACCCTCTGAGTGACCGATATGCCCACAAGGCTCACAAGTTACAGTGTAACAACAGCGCCGCTCTGAGCCGGTCAGCTTCGTTAAGCTCCCCTTGGGCTTTCAGCTGGACAGAGCACAGCCTGGGGGAGCTGTCTCCTGGGCCCCAGCGAACCAGGCCAGAATGTGATGGCCCCGAATTTCCCCAGGCAGTGAGACACGCAACCAGGCGCCCCTACACAGCAAAGGGACCTTGCTGCGATGCGCCTTCTCCGAATGGGATCGCACAGCAAAGCAAATGACCTTTAGGAAGGAAACATGCATCTGTGGCCCATCACTGTCTCTTCCTCAGCCAGATGGCATGCACACAGCTTCCGTTTCCTGTCAGCACCGTTTCACAGACACCTGGAGGGGAACACAAGAAGAAGTTCCGGTCTCCACAGCCGGGGTGCGGGAACAGCCTCTGACCCCAGGAGACCAGGAACAGCACCTGCAGGGCCGCTTCTGTCAACTACCTTCCCAGGGTCTGCATGAAGCAGGGCTGTTTCTGGGCCCCGGCGGCCCCCAGCTCCCACCCACCCCCATTCCCACCGCGGAGAACCCCAGGTGGGAGTTTCCTGAAGCCACTGTTGCTCTGAGTGTTTATTCCTTTCCCCAATCCAAGTAAAAAGGCGTCACATTCCCTGGTCCTGCGGCTCTCGCTCTCAGGTGACAGTTAGAAATCAAGGTGTTTGGCGGCAGGTTGCCACCACGACAGGGCTTCC